AGTGAAAGAATTGAAATATTTGTGAAAGAATATAGGCTGTATTACTTAAGAAAATTGGTAATTGACGGGCTTGGCTTACTTGAAATAGAATGAGAAGAACGGTTGCTAACGTAAACAAATGCCACGTTTCAACAACCAATCAGGATCGAGATACCCACACTACGTCACTTGCAGGTATCCCATTCATTAGTCCTTGTTGAGTTTCATTACGAATTCGTTGACATTAAATTATTAACGTTGATTTTACTTGTGATAAAACCTAACATAGGAGACCAAGAATTCATAAGAATGTGCCATATAAATAATTTTAATCGATTTCAGCTTTAAGCTAGAAAATCACTCATATTATAAAATATTTTTCACATCTTAGGGGGACCGGTAGTGCGTGATGTAATGCTTGAACCGGTGGTTAGAGAAAGTTTTAAAGTGGACAGTCAGGTCTTTGAGCCATGTCTTAAAGCGTATTCACGCTAAATTTGATGCGAAGTGGTTCAGAATTGTCAATTTTTTTATAAGGTATTACATATAAACATTCTGCTTTATTAGCTCTGCTTTCTGCTTTTTTATAATTCCTGATTAAATATTATTTTAAGCGTTAATACTCCTTAAAAAAAGCTGTATAATATAAGAATGGTTTGAATAAAATAATAAAATTAATAAAGTAATAAAAAGAATAAAATAAAGAAATAAAAATATACATCCTTTGCGTCAATAACTATTGGCACAAATTATATTTCAATCATATTCATAACTATATAATTATATTTATATATAATTTTATTTCATAACTATATTATTCCAATAATTCGCATGCTGCAAGGGATAGGTATTTTATTTTATAACCGTCGTTGAACTGTCGACGCAGTTTAGGATTTACGGTTACCAATGCTCGTAGCCTTGTAATTTTGAACCTAATAAAAAAGGCAAGGAACTCCTGGATCAAGTATTGGGAGAAATTTGGCTTCGTGGAGGACCTTTTGATGCAACTAACCCGCATTTACGTTACATGGACAAGAAAATCACGAATCGATACTTATCAGACATGGTGTGTAGCGTTTTTAAAAAGTACTTAAATCTGCTTATTTTCAATTTTTGTTTTTAAAAGCCCTTAAGGGTGATTTTTTCATTAGGTGTTTTTAAAAAGTGATTAATTTTCCCTTTTCCAAAATGAGATTTTTTCTTTACCATGTCGATTTTCGCCAGGTATTACGCAAAAGCGTATTTTTCACATTGTTCAACGTTTTCACAATTCATTCAACCACAATTTATTTCGGTGTACCGTCGGTCCACAGCGTATGAAAGCGTCAATCATTTTACATGTTTGATGAAATGCTTGCGTTGGTGGATTTGTTGAGATTCTTGCACTCGCATGTGCAACTCTGCTGCATTTTGCAAGATATTCTTAATCTCGGGCTTCATTTTCCGCCCTCTGATATCGAATCGAAAAATCTCTCGATCATTTTATAATGGCTAATACGATCAAGAAAAACGTTCTTTGTCAGAAACTAGTTATTTTATCATGATCATATAAAGTCTTTGAAAATTATTTTGAATTTTGTTAAAGTATGTAGTGCATAAAATATTTTGAGTGCTTAAAAAGTACTTACGAGGTACTTATTTTTTGTTTAAAGATTTGGCTATGTACCCTGTCAGAGAGTGTTACGTAGCGAGTATTATTTTCAAGTCATCCAGTCATTTAAGAAAGCAAATAGGGATTTACTTTCACTTTGGTAATTAGAAAGAAACTTATTCCATTTTCGAAAAAAGTGTTTTTGCGATAATTTTCAGCTCTAATTCTTTTTGAAAAATCGGGCTACATTGGATGTATATTAAAAGATTTCAATATCTTACTAAAATAGCTATTTACTATTTTTTCTCCCCGAAAGTTGTCTTATTTCACTTTCGAAAACAACAGCTCGTGCACGCCTATTTCGTGTGGCAATAACTATTAAATGTGTCGCTATTCCTTAGCTTTGTGATAAGGGCCTATCACTTAAAGTACATAACATAAAAAAGAAAATCCTTAGCGATTTCATTCAATTGCGTTGATTCAAAATGATTGTTGATTCAGCACTCTTAAAATATACAAAGAAAATTTATCTTAATGGCTGTATTTTTCTGTCTTAAATGTCTCGATCGGCTTTCGAAAGCTTAGATAAATAAAGGCGAAAATTTTGCTTTATTGCTGAACGTTTTACATGCCTCATTTTAAAGCGTACAACGAACGAAATCGAAAATAAAACAGCTTTATCTTTTTTCGTTTCATTATTTTCTCACTACCATCCCAATGGTTCGGGAGGTTGATTGTAAATATGCTAATTAATTTATGCAGACGGTATTTTAAGTAAAAGAAAAAAACTGACACAGAAGCGTATTTGCTCTGAATAATATACCTTTTCTTTTCCAAAAGATTTCAATTTTTGGCCCTCTCTACAAACTGACTGAACCAATAGTTTTAGTGAAGAAAGTGGTCGGAAATTTGAACATTCACTTTTTGTTTATTTCATCACTTCTATTTTTTTTTTTATAACCGTCGTTGAACAGCCGACCCATTTTTGGGTTTACGACTTTTAATGTTCAACTCCGTAGCCTTGTAATTTTGAATACAATTCAGAAGACAAGGGAACTCCTGTATCAAGTATTGGAAGAAATTTGCCTTCGTGGAGGACTTTTTGATGGAACTCCAACGTTTGCGTTACATAGAGAGGAAAACCACGAAGAAAAACCTCCCACATGTAGCCTGAAGGCAAGGAGACTCTAACCCATGATCCAGATATTTTACGTCACTGAGGATATTTTACATCAGCTCTGTGGTCGGTGCAGACCGCATGCGGATTTCGTATAGAGCAGTCATAACTGGGATTTGAACCCGGTTACCCCAAGAGATATCACTTGTTATTGGAACATGGAGGCCTCTTGGACATTGACCCAATGCCCTACCAACCAGACTATCAAGGCCCTCATCACTTCTTTTGAACGCTTTAATATTTCTTTTTGGCACTATAGTCCAGAGTAAACCGAAGCCGTTCTGTAGTTTGTCTACTCTAAGAACTCCCCCCTTCACAAAGTCTGAGGCAGTCTACTGCTATGGAAACAAGAATAACGCATTTCAGGGAGGGGAGCTTCTCTTCACTCTACGACTAACACAATAGACAGAAGAAAAATATTCTCTTTCTTTCTCCGACACGAACCAAAACCTGTCCTAGACAATGACCTCACACCCCTACTTGAAATAATTATACCTCGTTACCATAGTCACCGCCACGGATTCAGACGAATGACTAGGGGAGTTCTTACTTTAGAGAAACTATAACGAGTTTGTCAGATGCCTGTTTTTTCCAGTTAGTTGCTTTCAATGCTTTTAAATCTTCACTGTCATCTAAGCCATGTTGTGAGTGGAAACCTTTAGCTTTTTCCAATGCCATCTGTCTTGTTGAAGGTGAATATCTGCATGGGGTTGTAATCCACTTATCGACTAATAATATTATATTAATAATATTATAACCGTCGTTAAACAGCTGACCCAATTTTTGGTTTACGACTACCAATGTTCAACTCCGTAGCCTTGTAATTTTGAACCCAATCCAGAAGACAAGGAAACTCCTGGATCAACTATTGGGAGAAATTTGCCTTCGTGGAGGACTTTTTGATGGAACTAACCGCATTTGCTTTACATAGAGAAGAAGACCACGAGAACCTCAAACGAGTATCTTGAAGGCAAGGGGACTCCAACCCATGATCCGGATATTTTACGTCGCATGATACAAACACGGTGCCACGACAACAACAAAAAAAAGTACTTTTGTCCTTTGAGTTAAATAGTTATTAACTATTTTAGACAACATTATATTCTTTGTAAATAAAATAAGCGTCTCAAGGTTACGCGATATTCGTACTCTACCTTTTGTACCTATGGTTTCTTCAAATCAAGTTTTTGTCGAAACCGGGGTAACGAGGGTGGGGGTGGAAAGTAGGGAAGTCGCGTAAATTTGAGACTCTTTATTTATTTACAAGGGGTATAATTTTATAAAAATTATGTGTTCTAAAATCGCTGTATTTTCTAGAAATATCTGATAATAAATTTTTGGAGTCTTAAGGACTGTTTTATTCACCTCCAAACGACACGAACCCCTACGCTCTGTGCAATACATAACATGATTATGTGTTTAAAACTCAAACTTGGAGTGCTTTTTCAGATTATGACAGTTGTACTTTCTTCCTTCTTTATTAGTACTTTAATTAGAAGATTCCGTTGCGGTGAAATGTGAAAAATTATATTGGCTGCAGAAGCCACTCAAATCTTCGTTTTGTCTGTTAACTCTTTAGTTTGTGAAGTTGACTGAACTTAATTTAAATAAAGTTCTTCGTCCATTAGTTTTTATGTCATTAAATGGGTGTCACAACACCCATTTGCAAAATGGGTGTTGTTTTGGGTTTGATGGCGTTCGCACTTTATATGGACGTCATCACCCTTTTCAATTGTGTTCAAGAATAATAGTAAACAGTGCGCATGCGTCGTCATTGCATGCGTTGCTGTGGCGACAGCTGCTGTTTGATAATTTTTTCTTCTTCTAAATCTCTCAACAAGTTCCAAATGACTAAAATCTAAGTAAATGTTCACTGCATTACATTATTTACTAAAGTATAAAGTGAGCGTTTAAGATTAATCGTTTCTCTCTCTCAATTGAATTTTTTTATGACTAAAATATTGTTTATTTGAATCATTGTTTCCTTCGTTAAATTTCTCCCAAATATACTATATGTATCTTACCGAAAATTTAATGAATATTTCATGAGAAGTTATTCATGAATTTCATTAAAAGTTTGCGAAAATTCTTGCCTATCAACATACAATATGAATGAACAGAACATAAAATGAATAAATGAATTCGTAAGCACTATTTGAATAGAATCGCACGCTAATAATCCAAATTATATTTATTTAAATTTATTATTTTCTCATTTATAATTTTAATTTTTGTTATTTTAATTTCTTTCAGGTTTTTCAGAAATTTTATGGAATGGGTAACAGTAAAAGCCAGTTGACAAAATCTGAATTGCAATATTATAAAGTAAGCACTCTCTCTCTCTCTCTTTTTTCCCCAAATGTCTTAAAAACACTTTTAGTTTCTCAGTCAACACGTTAGTTCATGTACACGTTATTTTTCCTTTGCTTGTCAGTGTTGTTTTTATGACATGATTTAAATCTTTTTTTTCAGAGTTCCACGGTAACTTTAAAATAATTTTATGAGCTTTAGAGCATAAATATTGCTATTAAATTTTAGATATCCCTTTCGCCACTTAGTTTTAAAAAAATAAATAAAGTGTTACTTCTTCTAATGGCTTAAATCATTCTCTTTCTTTCATGTCATTGTTACGAAACATTTGAATGCTCATTCTTTTAAACAATGCTAATGAAAAATAATTTATCCTTCCTTTTTTTTCTGTTTTAGGAATTAACATATCTGACGGAGAGTGAAATACAATAGTAAGTTCAATTTTTTTTATATTTCTGTATCAGTATCTTATTGTTTGTTCATCATTTATTTAAATTTACAACAGATAAATGTATGAATTACTTTAACTAAACAACAACCACTTCAACTTNTAAGGTGTGCTTGGTTATACTGGTATGGATTTTTCAGTAGCGTAATCGAATCTGATAAAATATGTATGTAATGCAAAATAAGATATGTAATAAAAATGTTGTTAAAGATTTATCGTATCGATTCGACACAAAACTTATTAACTTTTGAGCATATTTAATCAATAAAACCGAAGGTTAAAAATAAAAATGACCAGTATTTTCTGTAACTGTTATCTTGTATCTGTTATCTATCTATTTGAAAAATAACGTGTTACTTTAAATAGGTCTGTCACATAACTCGAGAGCTGTTTTTTTTTAAAGTATGGGCCGTTCGAAAATAAAAAACCAAACGAAAGAGAATTTTCATGAAGCAAATTAAATTTTTTACTCTACATGCATTTCTCTTTTTTTTTTCTTTCAAAATAGCTGCAAAGTTTGTTTAAAAACTTATCGTTCCTTACAACTAGATTTAGAATACCCTCTTCATAGTAACTTGCCGCCTGCTCCGATAACTAGTTGGTCACGACCGTTTTCACGTCTTCGTAATCGTTGTAATGGCTGTCGCCAAAATAATGTTTGAAACATCGGAAAAGATGAAAAATCACTTAGCGCAAGGTCTGGGCTGTATTGGGGGTAGTCCCAAACTTCTCAGCTAAAAGAGTGCAATCTGATCTGTGGAGAGACTCATTGTCATGAAGTACCAAAATTTCCTGTCAGCACACTAGTACTTCCTAAACTTCACAAATCTACTGGTGAATGTACGCAGCAGACAGGTTTTTTACCGACTAAAAACTGACCGTACCTCATACGCTGCGGGTGATTTGTTAAACTGGAACATTTTAAATGCACAGGACTGACCGCATAGGTTACCTACACGGCTGTACTGAGCACTTTTATTCCCAAGAAATACCAGGCCACGACGCAAGCACTCGTTGCGACACACACCCTAGCTATTAGTGAACACAACAAAATAGCCATTACTGAAAAAAAAACAGCCCTCGAAATAGCGCCAAGTGCGATAAAAAACTCATTATTTTAACTGTTCAAATGTGACAAAACTCATACAATACCTCAATTGTCTAGAAAGCAATGTTGGGCCCGCAAATAGGTATAAATCAAAAATGTGCAAATTTTTTTAAACATTATAGTAACTAAGATCCATCACCATAGTTAAGACAATGAGCCCTCTGTCTTACGGACTGTGGTTCGATCCCCGATGGCAGTTTGAAGTCCACTCTGCTTTAGATCGATGGGCACCAGGACTAAAGAGAATAGAAGGTCTGGTTTACTCCTTTGAAGAAACTCTCGCATCGGCAATCCTCCGATTTTCTCTAGTGACGTCACTTTGGCGCAAGGCTCGTACTTTTACTTCAAGAACAGAGCTTTCGGCCTTACTAGCTCTAACTAATATTGGAGCATTTCTTTTTGTGACATATTCTAAGACATTTGTTATTTTCTATAATGACTTTCCTCAGTTTTTGCCGTGAATTTACAAAATTTTAAAACTATTAACGAAATGCCAGTTTGCGCCAAAAATGCTGATAGGAAAACAAAAGGAAAAAAATATAATTTTCCGCGTGTTCCCTAAAGTAAATGAACAACTATGTAAAGAATGGATTCCGAAATAACACAGTTAATATAAAACAGCAATACGTTTTTTCTATCGTTAAGAACTTTTATAAAAACTCGTTATCTAAATAGAAACCGCCTCGTTACTTCAAAAAGAAAGGCATGTGAAAAAATTAAAAAATGGATGAAGTCAAAGAAAATTAAAACGTAAGTAAAAAGTATAAATACAATATATAGTGTACAGTTAAAATTCTCCTAATTTCATAACTTATTTTTTTAATGTAGTTATTCTAAATATTTATGATTCTTTAAAAATTATATTCTCTTGAATTTAAATATCTATAAATTATATCATCTTAAATTTAAATATCTATAAACAATTGTAAAATTTTTAATGTCATTATGAACCTAAATTATTATTTTGTTTCAGTAATTAGCGTTTAAGGTTGATGTTTCCTAATGATTAAGTATGAACAAATTGCTATTAACGACATATTTTAAAATCAGGGATTCTAAATTTAACTTAACTTATCTTTATAAAAGAATATGTAGATAAAAAAAGTGTCGATATATGCCTTCATTTTTCTTAATAGTTAAAGTTAAAACTGAACTTTTTAAAATAAAGTATTTATCGTGTCATTTTCACCAACTAGCAAAACATTTTTATAAGTTTAAAATGGTATTTTTTTAATATAATAACCAAGAAAGTTTTTTTTGAACTATGTTTATGAACGGAAATAATGTGTTAATTACGTAAAGTTTGAAGGCTAATAACCAGAAAAAGTCTAACTTATTTTTACAAAGAGAAAGATGCAAAGTTATCATAAACCACTTGGATGATACCGAGATCTGTGGACACAGTGACGTCATGAGGAGGGAAATCGTAGCTTCAGCTCTAAGAGCGAAGTGAACTAGCCCTTCTATTCTCTTTAGCCCTGGATGGGCACTAGCTTGTCTGAGAAGTAATCTTGTGAAATGCTGCTCATATTGCCATTATCAGTCCTATGGTTACGAAATTGGGGAACATTAACTTTTATGATCTTCCTAGGCAAAAATAGGTTGCATTATATACAATGGAATCTGCTTCATTTAATAGATATATTTTACATATTTTTTTTTTAAATATTTGTACATTTTTTGTGCTTGTTATTATTTTTAAAGCTAATATAAAGCGTATTTTTTAACATATTGCAAAAATATTACAATGTTTTAGTTTGTTTTTTATTTTTATTTCAGTGCATTTAAAAGGTTTAAAAATCTACAGCCAAGAATATTGAACAAAGATAAGAATGCAAGGATACCAGTGGATCTCATAAAGAGAATGCCAGAGTTTCAGGTACGTTCCTTTATTCTTCTACCCCTTTTTATTCTTTCTTCCGCCTGAGGTTTTGTAGTAAATTTAAAAGCCATTTATTATTTTTATTGCTGTTTAAAGTAATCTAATAGTTTAAATTAAAAGTAATAGACAGGAAGCTAATAAATATCTGTCACAATTGTATAAATGAAGAGAAGTCAAGTTTATTTCCTTCAAACGAAAAAGGAAAGATAAAAAAAAAAATTTAACTTAGCAAAGTGCATTGTGTAAACCATTCAAATTATTTATTCTATTAATTTGAAAGGCATTTGGTTGAGTCAAAATAACATAATTTATTCAATATTTTTTTTATATCCGTCGTTGAACAGCCGACCCAATTTTGGGTTTATAACTACTAATGTTGAACTCCGCAACCTTGTAATTTTTGAACCAATACAGAAGACAAGGAAACTCGTGGATCAGTACCCCCAGAGATATTGATTTGTTATGGGAACATGGAGGACTTAGTGACTCGGCAGATTTAACGTGCATCAGTCTCAATTTTCTACAAGGGGAGTCTTCGGTCGGTGGGGATCGAACCCACGAGCTCTTGGACATGGGTCCTACTTATTTGGTAGGCCCAGTGCCCTACCAAACTGGCTATCTTGGCCCTTTTTCAATATTTTGGTTTAATCTCTCTATCCCAACACTCAAAGCTCAAAATTATAGCTAATGTTAAAAAGAAACTGTGACATATGTTTTTCATAGCACATCATTACAAAAATGTTATAAACTTCTGATAATTATTTAAAGGTTCAGACCATTCTGTATGTAACGTAAGTGAATAAAGTGACTAATAACACACTGCTTTGCGATACTAGCACATTTTTCAATCATTGAAGTATTCTTTATTTCTCTGCAAGCCTAAAAAAATCTGAGGGCATCGATATATTAAAATTTTGCTCTTTAGCGTTACCCTGTGGGCACCTGTCACTAAAGCGAGCAACATTACCTACGTCACACTGCCACAGAAATCCGATTGTAGGGTGGGCCACATTCACACATCGCATCACAACAGAGGACAATACACAGAGAGCAACTTTGCAGTCAGACTAGCTAACCACTCGGCCACCTGTCCTGCCATCTTTATAAATATAGTACATATTTTTGACCTTCGCTTGCAGATCGCTGGGCTACCAAAGAAGGGGAGCTATCCCCCCAGCAGAGAATCAAAATTTCGATGGCATGTCTTTGGATCATCCTCAGGGATGTTTTCCAGACAGTCGCCAACAGTCCATTGAGCAGCTCTAGTGTGACGTAAATAAAGTACCATATATTTTGACAGAGCTTTTTCATTAATGAAAGGGGGGTGGTCCAAACTAGAATGGGAACATTTGGAATAGCATACTATCCAAACGACGTTTCCTGTTTTGCTGGCGCACATGTACTTTTTTATCGAAATTTTCGATGATCATTTTGAATAAATGCAGATGAATTTTGTTGATTCATAATTTCCTCTGCTAAGGTGTGCTTGGTTATGGGCTTAATTAGCATAAATTTTAAAAAAATAAAAATAAAAGCTCCTTAGGCATTTAGGTGTTCAATCGGGGGACCTAAACTTGGAATGACGACCAAGAAATCACTCAACATTGCTCAACCATGAAAACTCATTTTTCTTTCACGTTGTGCACCCTTTTTAATAACCCTGCACTGACAGCTGTGCCGTTGTCTTTTTTTTCCCCCGTCGGTAGCATTTTATCGCGTGAAATTCGTTTCTTTTATTCTTTATTTCTATGCGAGCACATTTTCTCTTCCTGTTCCTAACTCTTAGTTATATTTCAGAAGTGACTATGTATTTTGAATATCCACGATCAGTGTTTTTATTACCCATTGGCAAAATGAGTGTTGTTTTGGATTTGATGGTCATCACACATGGTCATCACACTTTTCAACTGTGTGCGGATGCGTCGTCATCGCATGCGTTGCTATGGCTACCGCTGCTGTTTGATAATNATCCTTAAACATCATAGTCTTATTTGGAAGACATTTAAAAAATAAACCCATTTCATCAATATTGAAAACATCATTTTAACTGTATCCTTTAAGTAAATTTGGTAACGTTTCATTTAACCATTTGCTCACATACTTCAAGAGGGACAGCTTTAGCTTCTCCATGAAGAGTGGAAAGATATTGTGTGTGTGTTGCAAAGGAAGGGGCAAGATATCAGCTCCTAGGTTTTTTTTTCTTACTTTAAAAGATCCCAAAAAAAATCGAGTTAAAGGGAGTAAAATTCGAGTAATCGCGAATAATTAACATGAAATTGAAGATAAAAGGGTCGGGGACCTCATAAAAAAATCGAGTTATAGTAATATTCGAGTTATCGTACTTCGAGTTATAGCGAATTGACTGTAGTATGATTACGTCCATGCATAGACGTATTTAGATTATTTATTGCAAATAAAATATCTGACAAATAAGCAACTTGAGTAATCCACTTCAACTCGGAGAATTTAGATGCTAATGGGTGTTCCTTTTCTCTCAAAAATAATTCGACTTCTGTCCGTAATGATAATACTCTTTGAACAACTTTGCCCCGGGACAGCCATCTAACTTCAGAATAATATAATAAATGTCCGTATTCTGCACCAGATTCGAAACACTGTTCGCGGAAAATTCTACAGCTAAGAGCTCTTGATTTGATAAAATTGACTACCGCAACAATTTCATCCAAAACGATACATAATTCGGGTGATAATTTTTTTGAAGCAAGATTTTGTCTATGTAACAAACAATGAATCGATAAATACTTTTTTACTTTTTTCTTTTCTTTTTTATTTTAAACATTAACTACTAAGTATCTTTTATACTTATATTAATTTTGCACCTTGATATGCTAAACTAATTTTTGAGTCATGTGCCTTTTTTAATTATTATGAACGAGGATTAAGGGTATAGAGTTACCCAGGTATCTCATTAAGCCTAGGCTGAGTAAGCCACAATGACTTCTTCTAGGAGGTGTTGGTATTACTTATTATTTGGTGTATTACTAACTTTTTTGGTTCGACTCAGCGCGACCCAAGAAATATGTTTCACGACCCAATTTTTGGTCGCGACCCATAGGTTAAGAACCGCTGCTGTAACTGATCAATCTGGTCATCAATGCCTTGAAGCACCATCTATCGGCAACCTTTTTAATTAAATTCGAAAATTTCTGCATTGAATTTTCAGACATTTCACAATAAACATATCGTTTGTTTCATTCTTCTTCCTTCATTTTCGCGGTTTTTAATTTTGAAATCAGCCAGTGATCTGCTGGACACTCTGCATATTAAGAGTGGTGTTTACGTAATACTTTTCGTCTCTTATTTAAGCAATAAATACTATATTTTGATATCAATGAATGATTGTTGTTGTAGAACAATCCGTTCAAGGAGAGGATTTGCGAACTGTTCTCCTCCACCAACGATGATACCTGGTCTTTTGAAGATTTCCTGGATATGGCTTCTGTATTCAATACTGATTCTCCAGCCGATAAGAAGGCAGAATATGCTTTCAGTATCTATGGTAACTTATTGATCTTCTCTCACTAATTATCCACATAGTGGGCTTACGGTCTCATACTTTGGGAAGTGTAATGAACGTAGAATCGTCGAAAATTTGGTCAAATAATTTCAGATTTTTAAATGGTAAAATATGAAGTGTGAGCGCAATCAGTCGAATAGCTTCTGTGTTATCAAGTTTTAAGAAAGTCTTAACATTAAAAATTTAATCTTTCACGAACGTCCGATTTCCTTCAAATTTTGTATTTTGTCATATAAAGTTACATTCTTTGAAATGATGTAAAAATTTGTATACCTCACAATTGAAATTTTCAGATCATTAATAAGAAAAATGTTTAAAAAAAATAGTAAATAATTATTAGAAATATTTTTTTTAATCGAATTATCTTTGGATGAACGAATTTTATATTTAAAAAAAAATTCGATTTGCTTAAGTTTTACAGATATGGTGAAAAACGCAAAAAAGAAAATAAGCATTAAAAAGTGTCCAAAAATTTAATCTCTCGAAAACTATTCGACCGATTTCATTCAAATTCTGTATTAATCTGTATAAAATTACATTCTTTGAAATGATGTAAATTTTTTATGCCTTACAACTGAAGTTTTTGGATCATTAATAAATAAGATGTTAAAAAATAATAAATAATTATTAAAAATTAAATTTTGCATGGAATTATCTTTATATTAACGAATGTTATATCTTAAAAAAAATTTCGATTCATTTAAAAAATTTCTGGAGATATGGTGAAATACGTAAAAAAGAAAATAAACATTAAAAGTGTCAAAAAATTTAATCTCTCGAAAACTATTCGACCGATTTCATTCGAATTTTGTATTATGCCATACAAAATTACATTCTTTGAAATGATTTTAAAAAAATTGTATACCCTATAATTGAAATAAACATTAAAAGTGTCCAAACTTTCGACTAATCTCCGGGCTCTTGCGACCATATTTTCCAGATTGAGAGTTCCTCCTTTATCTTGCAAATCAAGAATCCGAAAAGTTATATTTCTTCAGAGAAAGTGCGTTTTTTAGTTCTGACTTCGTAATTAATTAATACGAAATTAACTGCACTAATTAATTAGCATTTTATTTTATGCGCCTCACATACATATACCTTCCCAAAATAAAATTTTGGCTAAATAAACTAAAAATAATTAATAAAATCTAAAAACACTCAAGTTACCGCCATCTTATCCAAATTTGTTCAACGTTATTTTCATGCATTTTGTGTTTTACAACTTGCGTGTTCTTCGTTCCTTAACGTACATTTTTGTTAAGCAAAATTTTCTTAAAATGAGGGTAAATCCCAAGGACCACCCGCTGTGAGAGCATACGAGCGCACTGCGGAACCGGGTGATTTTTACCATTAAACCTAATTTCATTTAAAAATTCAGATAAAATTAATACTGCAATTAAATACGCTAAAATTTGCAGTTATCATTGATAGTACTTTAGTCTTAAAACATATTTATAAGAAAATGTGTAAAAATAGTACAGAACAATCCAACGACAAAAAAAGCGAATTTTTCTTCTTCACCCCAACGCTTCCCCTTTCCCAGTATTGATTAGGAGAAGAAGAGGGTGCAAGCTCGTTTATAGAACCTTTGCTGTTGTGTCCCTAAATGTTTTTTCCCTTATACACAGGGACCACACCTAATCTTGGGGGACTATTTTACATTAGGTCAATGAAAGCTAGACTTCTTCATCTATGTATATTCTTTCATCTAATGCCGTTTAAAAATTGAAATAAAATGTTCCAAATTAAAAACTCGCCCGAGTTTGTCTAAGCTAAGGACTCCCCCCGCCACCCAGGCCGTCTTGTGCTATGGAAACAAGGGTGGCGCATTTTAGAAAGGGTAGCTTCACTCAAGGACTAACACTAATAGACCGAAGAAAGAGACTCCTTTTCTCTCACCGACACGAGTCGAAACCACTCCAAAACAGTGACCCCCTGCTTGAAATAGTCATACCTCGTTACCATAGCCACCGCCACAGGTCCAGACGAATGTGTAGGGGAGTTCTTATTTCAGACAAACTATATGAGCTACCGGTTTCTTAAAGGCTCTTCTCATATATGATACCGTGGTCGATGAAGGGAGATTTGCGACATAATTTATCCTGAGGGGGACAAACCTCAATTTACCTCCCCTAATTTGCATAATGTGCTAATTCCGGTTTCAACAAGGAATCAAAACACATGTATTAAGGGTGATCAGGGCAGATTACATTGAATATTTAGCTTGCAAAAATACCTGCAGAATAAGTAAAACAATAGGTGATATGTTTCAGACGGAGATGGTGATGGTTACTTATCAAGAGGAGACCTCAAGGACTTGATCAACTTGCTGACTGGAAGTGATAATTTGGATGAGCAGGATATCGATGACGTCATCGACAAGGTGATGGATGAAGCAGACATTGATAAAGATGGAATGCTCTCTCCCGGTGAATTCAAGCATGTCATCATGAAGTGCCCGGATTTCGCTAGGTATCTCGCTGATTTTTATTTATTTTTTATTATGGGAGACATCCAACTCTTGATGCAAATACTTAACTTCCATCTAAGTACTATGTTATTTTTCGACTTCCTAAATACTAAATTTTCTTTGGTTCAGGTTGTATTGTATAAATGTTCCGTAATGACAGTTGTTCCTTCTAATATTTTTAAATACTTACGATACAGATTACTAAAAACTTTCTTATCCATTAACATTCCAAAGGAGACGAGCATGCTCTCATATGTTAATCGAAGTCCGCAGTGAACTGATCGTAAAGACGCTGTTCTCAGTAGAACACCAAAGTCAAGCATCACTGGCTGCGGTCAGTAAACGGGTGGATGACCACTTTGATCAGCTTGCGTAGGGACCGAGGGTCGTCGGGCTGCCAAATAATGGGAGCCATCCCCTCTGCATAGGATCAAAATTGCGATGGCATGTCTTCTGATCATCTTCGGGGATGTTTCCCAGACCGTCGCCAATTGCCCATTGTGCAGCTTTACTGCGATGCAAATAAAGTACCTACCTACAAGGGCGCTGGCAGAATGAAATAAAAGGGGCTGCAACCCTTTAACAAACTAGCCCCCCCCCTAAAGAATATTCTGTTATTACATTTTGTTTTGTTATTACTTATACTTTCATCTGCTGATTTTTTTCATCTGTTTTAATAGAGAAAATTCTTATGAATCCCTCGAATACATCGATTTAGTTATTGAGGCCACACCGTTTTATCCAGCTGTAGCGGAGGCAATCAAAATTGGCCTAACTCTTCTAGCTACTACGTGCACTATTAAATGCACTTTTAGTACAATGCGACGCATTAAATCATGGAATCAGTTTACAATGTCTCGGGAGAGATTGAGTAGTTTGTGCATGCTCAGTGTGCATAAGAAAGGAATCAAAGATGACTCAGAATTCATTGAAAAAGTTATAAACAAATTTGGACAGCTAACAAGACGATTACAATTCTTGGTTAATTAAACAATTTTTTAATTTTTATGTATCAATAATTACCTAATTATTTGTTTTTGAATAAAAACATTTTTGATAAAAAAAAATTTTATAACAAATTGTTTTTCTGTATCTCTTTAATTGTTTAAAAAAAAACCAGGGGGGTGCAAGTGCACCCCGCTGCCGGCGCCCTTGCCTACCTACTTATGTAATTATAGGGTATCTTCTAATTTTTTCTTCGACTGATGAAGTAAATTCTAAAAGTGTACAAGCGAAAGAAAACGGATTAATTTTAACAAAAAACAATATATTTAAATCTAACTTAGTTTCAATTTTTTTTATTTACGATGGACATTTGCCATATAACATTCAAGGGTAAGGTAATCTATCTCGCAACAACTGTCTTTAATACATATTTTTTGAAAAGTCTTAAAAAATGTTACCTAAATTTTTATAGACTTTTAAATAAATCAAAAAATAAATACCTGTACAAATTTTTTTCTGTTGATTCCATAAAATTAAAAATCAATACATGCGGAATTTTTGCCTCAATAGGTTTAAATCTTTTACAAAAAAAAAACAACAAATATATACTTAATGTCTAGAGCTAGGATGATGGCGACCTATTAAATCTTTAGAAATACCCTCAAAAAATTTTGAAAAAGCCCTCTATAACTTATCAAAATCACCTTAAAATGAAAATTAATACCTTAAAAATTTTCGAAACATGTTTTTTGTTAACTTTTTTTAAAAATTATAAATCGTAATTTGTATTCATAAATCAAATAAATAAGGTAATAATCAAAATAAATATGCAATTTATGAAAAATAAATGCTGTAAATAAATACGATAAATAAACCATTAATTTTTACTTACGAACTTCAAAAACATCAGAAATACATTTTATTGTCAAATTTTTTTTGATAATCTAACGGTTGAAAGATTGCCTATTGCCCAAAAGCAAATCCTAATGTCTTGGAAATTTTTATTCAAAAATCAACAATAGTTTTTGGAGACTATTTAAAATAAAAAAATTCAATGCGAGATTTCCACTAATTTATAAAAAAAAAAAAACTTTCAAAATTATCTGAAAATGAAAAATATCATTTAAAAAATTCTTCAAACCTTTTTAAAAACTGAAAAGCACGACTAATGTCCTATAAAGGAAAAATGTGTTGATCATCGTTTTAATCTTGCTGATGTATTAAAATTGCCCGAATGACCTTTCTATTTTATTTTTAGGAGTTTTACAATCAGAATTTAAAGATAACTGAACAGAATAAGCCAAACTTCAACTGTGATATGCAACTGCTGTAATAAGCCTATAAGTACAAATACATCATGTTGATCTCACATAATAAAAACAATGCATCTTTCGAGGTTCATATTTTTGACCTCAAACAGGATGGAAAAAAAAGTTGTGAGTCCCTATGTGCTGAGAGACTTACATCTAAAGTTTTCCGACTGTTTCAATAACGCTTGCTGCAAATTTTGCAATATGAATGAATGCTGTATAGCGCCCTCAAATGTATAGAAATAAAGTCAATGGAAAGAAAGATTCACTATTGAATACAGTAACCTAGTGGTTAAAAAATAAGCACTTGGTTATCCCATGGCTAACATACCAAACCAGAAAGCGGAATTTTTTTAAAGTATAATATGGTCTCATACAAGAGTGTTATAAACGATCATCTAGCTCTGGGGGTAACAGTAAGAGTATTTTGTAATTTTTAGATGGCAACACAACGATGGCATTTTAAAACTTTTATCGTAACTTAATCTCTTCTTCGCATTGAAAACATAAAAAGGAGTTGGAATGATATTTTCAGCTCGAATAATGCAACATAACACAGTAAAATGCAGCATACAAATCACTGTTATTTTCTTCCCTCCTCTTGTCCTCAGAGCACATTAGAAGAGCATTCTCACTGCAGCTTGCCAGTCGCATATACGATTCAACACAAATTCGATTCGCGCATGCGCAAACAGTTCCCCTGAAAGGAAGCCACAGGAGAACGCTTCGCGTCAAATTTTCTTTTATCTTCATAAGTTTAGAGAAAAGTTTCAAATGCTGCAGAAATATTTTCGAAATGTTAGCAAAAATCCCTTCCCACTGCGTTATTCTGATTAATCCTGCCATAATATGTTTGCATTTCAAACACATTTCTCCAGCATTCGAAAATTTATTGTTTTCTCTAGGTGAACCTGAACTGACTTTTTATTTAATTTTAAATGTTAAATTCCCTAAGAAGATAAAACAGATTTTGCTATAAAAAGTTTATCGCGTGATGTAGTAAATAGAGCAGCAGAATGCAGATACATCGAAAACTTATAAAATATTGTAAAATGACCTCAATTTTTTCATTAAAGGAATTTCTTACTGTGAGGACCGCGTTTCGATGATGAAGAAAAAAATTATCTCCGTTAGAAAACTATTACTGTATCCATCAGGGCTGGATAAATCTCACGGATTTATTCTTGATCTCTTATTTTAAAAATACAAAATTTTATTTAAGTTCGCTTGAAAAGTAAGCTTGCCAGGGAATCACATGTTGGCAAATTTATTTTGCGAAATCACGTTTGTATTTTATCACATTTATATGTTTACTTCCTAGATATTGATGAGAATTAAATCTATTTATAGAATGTGTTTACTAATTTTTATACGCTATGTTATTGGTGCAATTGAAAAAACAACGTAAGTGCTTCACGATAGATTTCGAGACACGTGACTTGACAACTATTTTCTTTCTATAATACTATGAACGCTAAAATAGAATTTTAAAAAGCTGATAAAACAAAATTTCTTTTTCTTTCTTCAATGTGTATTTATCATACAGAAATGCTAAGTATATAAAAATCTCAATTGTGAGTTCTTTATCGCTTATGTTGAATTTTCTATTGCCTCGCAGTATACTTTTCAGCACAATGACACTTACTCTATTCATATTTTCTTTAAATTTTGATACCTAAAAAAAAACAATTTTTTGCATGTTTTTGTTTTACTTCAATTGAATTTTGTAAATGACTAAGAATAAATTTGTAATGATATCCATTTAAGTCATGTGTCACAAACTGAAACTTTTTACGAATTATCAAAATGTATTTTATTGATGTAAAATTATAATATAACATTGGTACGATTTGAAAAAATCAAATAAAAACAAATAGAAATGCATAGATTTTAAGCTTATTTATTCTTTTTAAGTTTCTAAGCTGATCAACTGATGGCCCTGTTTACTGCAAATAAAGCGACGTCAATGGTAACCAAGGGGATAAGAAGATAAAAACTTGGTTATATGTTACTAACATTCCGTAACAACTTCATATTATTAATACGCTCATTTAATAATAGTAAACCAATTTTTAATTAAGAGATGCAAATATTTCGAATTACTTATCGGCATTTATAAAGCAATTTCGGAACTGAAATCTAATTCGATCTTCATCAGTATTCGCTTTTAAATCACGTTTCTTATTTACTATAACTTATAGTAAATCGCTAATATTTGATTAATTATCTTTTTTTACCGGGAAGTTGCAATTATATTGTCTTATTACAGTTCTTAATACAGATTTGCGTTTTCTGATCTAGGTTTGTGCTTTTTACGCAAAAGTATTTTGAAATTTCAGAACGATTACAAATTAATTATGACTCATGTACAGTGCGGGAAAAAAACGAACCACCTTGAATAACTTTTGATCTAATAATCGGATTTCACTTTCTAGGACTCGATTTTAATGGCTCTATGGGGTGACTTCAAATATGCTAATTAATAATTGCAGACAATATTTTAAGTTACGAAACAGACACAAAAACGTACTTTCTCTGAATAAACATATCTTTTTCCGACGAATTCGGATTTCTGACACCGAAAATATAGGCGGTAGACGCAATCTGGGGAATGATTCAAAGCTTAGACAGCTTAATGTTAATTTTACTTTTTTCGTATTTCGCCATATTTCGAGAAATTTTAAAGCGAATGGAAATTTTTTTACAGAGAATTATAAAATTCGTTCATCCAAAGAAAATTCTATGTAGAAAATTAATTTTAGTAAGTATTTATTATTTGTTATTATTTTATAAAATAATAGTTGAAAAAGTTTGGAATTGTAAGTGTAAAATTTTTTGCATCAATTTAAAGAATGTAATTTTACACAGCAAAGTTTGAACGAATTCTGTCTAATTCCTGAGAAATCGAATTTTCAGAATACAATTTCACAGAAACTATTTAAACGATTTCACACAAATGTTGTACTTTGCCATGTAAAATTATATTCTTTAAAACGATGTAAAAAATTATCTATCTTGCAATTCCAACTGTTTTCGACTAATATGAAATAAAATAGTAAATAATTACTGAACACATTATTTTTTGCATGTTATTATCTTTGGATAAATAAATTTTATAATTGTGTACAAAACTTTTTCAAATTCTCTTTAAAATTTCTCGAGATATGGCGAAATACGCAAAAAGTAAAATTAACATTAAGGGGTCCAAACTTTGGATCGTTCTCCTGACCAAACTATGGGCACCATATTTTCCAGATTGATCAGACTGTGAAGGGACCGAGAATGCACGGTATTAGTCCTCGTTGAACTATTCTACAGGAAAGTGCTCGACTTCGAGTGAGGACCATCGAGCTAAGAAAGTGGAAGAGGGGCTTCCCCCCTTCAGATGATCAAAATCGTAATGGAATGCCTTCGATCATCCACAGGAATGATTTCCAGACTGTCACCAATGGCCAATTCAAAAAACTAATATTCTCCAGTGCGACGTACATAAAGTACTACTACTACTAAAATATTTTTTTTAAAAAAAAAAGCTTCCGTGAGAGTAAATCTGGCCTCATGTTAAATTGTACAATAAATAGAGAGCTACTTACAGCTATAAGCAATACAACAATGCAGTCGGTTGGTCTGCAGTCGGTTAACAACATTAGCAAAATATGTGATTCATAGACATTTCACAAATATCAAATATACTTTATTATGGATTCTTTTCCTGTTAGAAATTAATAATTAAATATTGAATTGTTAAACTTTGTTTTTGTAAATAAAAATATTCTATTTGCCGAAATAGACCCAAAAGTTACACCCAAAAAGTTTATTGGCAATCAAAATGGGCCACAGGTGGCGTGAAGCAGAATTCGCTACCTGTGGCAACTATTTGCATGCTTTTACCTGTAGCTTGTGGAGAGTCATAGGAGAAGTAAGTAAGTTTGTTTTTATCTTGATTTTCAAAAGACTAAAATCCTTTAAGTTAGGAAATCATATGGAAATGAAAACTACTTTGAACGTAGTTCTTAATTAAAGCGTTGTGGAAATTAAAAATAATATTTTTGACAATTAAATACAAAATATATTAAGAAAGGGGAAAATATCGTAGTAGTACATTTCTATACAACTGAGAAGAGGAGGAGAGGGTAGGGGAACGAGTCAAAACATGGAACCGGTCTTCTCCCCAGATGGCGTATTCAAGCGTTGCGATTGTAAATCAAAAATCCATCACTTTTGCGGGTGGAGTAAAACTAGGTATAAACATCTGTAGTTCTAGTGTTAAACGAGCCAAAATGCAAGTGGACCTTGGTCTTATAGCAGTTGTTGCTTGATCTTCGTCTAATAAAATTTGCATTTTTATTTAGTTGCATATTCTTACATTTCTTTATTTTTGTGAATACTTCAACTGTAACGATAAAGGTATAATTTTGAATTATATTGTAAGCAAAATAAATCATTATTACATTATGTAAATATAAAAAAAATGATGTAATAATAAAATATGTAAACCAAATTTTGATCTGTAACATGAATGAATTAAAATAGATCTGATATGAAACCTGTAATTAAATACATTTGTGGGGAATGGAGATATGTACAATGTCAACCTTCATTTATCATAAGGTACCATAAGAGAAAATCGAGTTAGCATGAGTTATATAGAAGTGAATTGATGTTAAATAATAGTAGTGATAGTTACGCCACACAATTATAATATCTGAATTCGTAATCGCTAAGACGTTTGTTTATATTTTTAAGTAATATGAAATTTAATTCAGTAATAATTGCTAAAAAAGCTGAAGGTATTTCTTTGAAAAAAGTTCTGTGCTGTGTCATTTGGCGTTCAAAATGGGCTTTAGGTGGCGAGCAGAAATCTCTTCCTATGGCAACACTTCTACTGCTTTCACCATTAGCATATGGAGAGTCATAAGAGAAGGAAGTACGTCAGTTTTTCTCTTGATTTTGAAATAGATTAAAAACTTTCAAGTCAGGAAACTATATGGAACTGAAATCTACATTGAACATAGTTCTAAAAGAAAGCATTGTGGGATTTATAAAAAATATTTGTGACAAATAAATAAGAAAAATATTAAGAAAATGGAAAATATTGTAGTATATTCCTCT